AGCAAAGGAGTCACGATGGAGAAGGAGCATGAGGTTAGAGGTCATATGACAAAATGACCCTACCTCACAATTAAATCTTCTCTATTTATCTTTTAGTTTATTTGCCGCCTAGGATATTGGTATTCATTTATTTAGTCTTGCATATTTGGTAAGTTTGGTTTATTAAACCTTTATCCTGTTATTTTATGGTTTGATTTGGTTTTTTTAATAAAAGCTTGGTTTTGAGGCTTGGATTCGCATTATGATTAATGGTACATATGCTTGAATAGATAGTTTTGATGTATTGATCTAATTATTTCGATAGTAGTTTATTATCCGCTATAACTATGTCAATCGAGTAAACGGAGAAATCTTTTGATAATCATGTTAGTAGTTCAATCCTTTTCTAATATGGATATAGTTATGTATTTAAGGTAAATAAAATTTTTTATAACCACAATATGGTGCTTTGTGGAATATTTGTGCTTACTCTTCTTATATCATGATTATATGAAAAATAGGTACTGTATACTAAAGAAGTTGTAGGGTGTTACAGTTAATAAGTGGGTAAGAATGAAAAATTCTTTTGTTACTCCTTGCGGATATAGGAGAATATTTCAAAACTTTATACGATGGGCAAGACACTATTTTTAATTTTTTGTATTGATATATGGGTTTTAAGGAGGACGAATAATAAAAGAAAGGGAGTATTTCAGAATATAATTTGTGAATAACATGTGCTTAATATAAATTTGATATTCAATCTACCCCATTTTAAGTGTTATCTTAGTGAAATTATTTTGTTCCACTGTGCTTTAATTTAATTAATTAATATGTTGTTTGAGGCATTCTTCAGAAATATCCGATAAAATAGAAATAATGTAAATAAAAAATTAACTTGATCTTGTGATTGAATAACGCATGCAAATCGAGAAAAAATATATCAACTAGTCTCATGAAATATTGAAATCCCACTATGTACCTTTTATAATTTTGACCTGTCTACTGTCAATGGTGTGCATTGAAGTAGCTTTTTTTTTTTAAAAAAATAAATTTTCTCCAATAATAATTTAATCCAAGCCTAAAATTTGGTGATTTTCAATTGAGTTTACTATTTCTAGTAAGTTGGTACTTTTTAACATTGGATTTACGCAAATTGAATAAACACCCTTATACATTTTCAGTAGTATTGACAAAATAATTTTAAAAAAATGAAGTTTATATTTTTATTATGTTCAAGAACTATGGTTTGTTACATAATTGGATCTTAAGAAATCATTAAAATGTTATCACACCACAAAGTTCTATAGAGTACTACCCCTAGTCCTTAATATAAGAACTAATTGATTAATTTGAGTAGATTAAGAAAATTAATTAAGTTATTTATTTCTAACAAATAGGTCTTGTTTTTCCTAAAATATCCTTACTAATCAAGTATATTAGCTAGAACTACCATTAATACAAGGACTATTTTGAAAAAAAAAAGATAAATATAAGATACCAAGTGGATTGAGGTCTTATATTTAGGACCAAAATAAAAATCAAACAAGCTCTTATATTAAAGATTGGAGGTAAGTATTTCTTGCCTAGTTATATTAAAACAGTTAAGGTCATTTTTGTCACGCAATGAAACTGTGAATAACCGAAATTTTTTTTTTCCATGTCACTCCAAAGTGTTAAAAAAAGGTTGCTCTAATTGTTAAAAAATTAATATTTTTGTTAAAACATTTAACATTGACTTTTAACATTTTATAACACTTAGGAATGATATTGAATTAAAAAAATGAATATAAATACTTGCCATAATCCATATATCCTACTTTAAAAATTTTCAAGTGATTATTTAAAGTCAACTAAGACACGTGGCTTGGCCCTTTTCGCAAAAGAAAGAAAAAAACGAAGGTGCTGCTCAGGTTTGACCATATCAAGTCAACCTGGGGCTCCTAGGTGCGCTGTCCAAGCTCATATCGTTTTACCACTTCTTGGAGTCTTTGTTGTGCAGAGGACGTCCCATAAATGTGTCGGCAGCAAATGGGCACTTTTAAAATTTAAGACAAACTAAAGAATTCAATTCAATTCACCAACTAAACGTATTTGCTTACCCTCCTATTCCTGGAAAAATTCAAACAAAAAAAAAAAAGAAAAAAAATTGTCATGTGACAATATTTCACATACTACCTCTAGTCCTCAATAGGATAATAGGATAAGAGTTAATCAATTAATTTGGATACATTAAAAAAAATTATTAAGTTAGTTATTTATGATAAATAGATTTTTTTTTAAAATATCTTTATTAATCATATATATTAGCTAGAACTACATTTTGATGACACTTTTAACATGTACAATTATATTGATTACTTTAAAAACATGGATAAATATGAGAGACAAAGTATATTAGAGTCTTATATTTTGAATCAAATTGAATTCAAACTAACTCATATATTAAAAACATTGTGAAATATTTATAAAATATTAAAACTAACCCAATCAAATTTTAATTCAATAGTTGAAATGAGAAGTGGAGCGAGGAAGTAGAATTTCTTCATTATCATGGTAGTATTTAATTATAGTTAATGGAATACAAGGATAGTTTAGAAAAAAATAAATAAATATGTGGGACAAAATGAATTGAAATATTATGCTACCTCCGGTCCTTAATAAAGACACTGTTTGATTTTTATTTTGGTCCTAAATATAAGACCCCAATCCACTTTGTCTCTCATATATTATATTATATATATATATATTTCCAAAGTAGCCCTTTTAACAATGATAGTTCTAGTCAATACACTTGATTAGTAAACATATTTTAGGAAATATAACACTGTTTGATTTTTATTTTGGTCCTAAATATAAGACCCCAATCCACTTTGTCTCTCATATTTATATATATTTTTCCAAAGTAGCCCTTCTAACAATAATAGTTCTAGTCAATACACTTGATTAGTAAACATATTTTAGAAATATAACATGTATTTAGGACAAATAACTAACTCAACTTACTTCCTTAATCTCCTCAAATTAGTCAACTGGCTCTTATAATTAGGATCGGAGGTCACTAGAACTATCATTATTAGAAGGACTACTTTGGAAAAAATGTATAAATATGAGAGACAAAGTGGATTGGGATCTTATATTTAGGACTAAAATAAAAGTCAAACAGAGTCTTATATTAAAGACAGGAGGTAGTAGTATTTAGGATCAAACTAAAAGTTAAACTAACTCTTATAATTAGGACTAGAGATAGTATTTTTTTATATGAGAGGTGGGCTCCGAGTGGCAAGTGTTATCGAAATTCGAAAGTCTTGAGAATAAGTTGTGCAACTCATAGTTGTTGAATTTTATATTTATATTTTATATTAATGATAATATTAATATCAATTATATATTATTTTTTTGATTATTTTATTTATATTAAAATTAATGTTGATATTCCATTCGGTCAATTTGAATGTTAGTTAACAATAAGGGATGATTGCTAATAAAATTGGTACTAAATTGCTGATAGTACAGCTTATGCACAAAAGGAGAAGCCAGTTTTCGTTAATAGATAATTAACAAATATTTCAATAGGTGCATGAGATTTATCTTAATTTTGATAAGCTTTGAAAACGTAACTCATTTAAATATTTTCATAATAAAATCATTTTAACATACAAGTGCATAATTGAAATTATATTTATAAAATAAAAACCAGTCTCCATTTAAAGTCTAACAACTTACATGATGCCATGATGGCATCTTTAAAAACCTAACGCATTTTGACACCGAAATAGTTCATCGCAGTAAAGGTTTGCGAACAGAAATCTTCTCACTAGATATACTTATTCCCTTATTGAAAATAATTTGATAAAGAACAGAAAAAAGTTAAGACGTATCCAGTACTCTGAAATATTTTTTAAAGTATTTTTTTTGCTTAGCACCAAAATATTTTTGGGTGCTGGACCCATTTAAAAAAAACCTTTGAACTGTTAGATCTATAAAAAAATACCTCACGATACTGAACGTATCTAAAAAAAATTTTCAGATTAATGGATATATCTTAATCTAGACAGAAATCTAAATTGTATTTACAGCCTGCCTCAAGAAAAGGCCTCTTGGTCTTGATTCCATAACCTCAAAGAAGAAATGGGCTACAAGAAAGAAATAGGAAGCCCGTATTTTTAATCCTTGATGGGTTTGGCTTTCAGGCCCACTCTCAGTGCCATTTTTGTAAGAGCACAAGGAATGCCCAGAAAATACTAATAGAAGGCGGCTCGCCGTGGCCAACCGAGCTGCGTCGCAAACGATGGAGTGTGCGGCGAGGGGGAGAACTCCGTGCGTCGGCCCAGCCACGAGACGCTGTGCTCGCTGTGAAGCTGTTTCTTATTGCTCTATTGCTCACCAGGTTTTTCTCTCACTCTTGTTGTAAACTTTTCTTTCTCACAATTATCTTTCTTTTCACTTGATTGTTCTTCTAAGATGCTTCTGGGTTTCGAACTCCTTGCTGCTTATTTTTCTTGGTTATGTATATTGTTTGGCTTCAGATGGAACTGAGTTGGAATTTGAATTTGAGTTAGGTTTGAATGTACTTCATGGCCTGGTAATATGAATTTTTTGAGTTTCCTGAATTCATTTTTACATTTGTGCGAGAGTCGTGTTTATTGCCTATTGTCATATGAGATTGTATGGATAATATAGCGAGGAAAATGTCCTCTTCACTACGACTTCGATTGTCAAGAACATCTAAATAGACTTGTGGGACCAATTTCTGATATTCAGAATATTTGTTTAGGACTGAAGATATTCAGAATTTATTTGTACGGGATTCTACTTGCAGATATTTTCTAGTTAAATATTGATTTTTTTTTTGGCAAATTCTAGTTAAATATTGATGTTCTGCATGAAACACACCTAATTTCTTTCCTTTTTTTTTTTGGTGCATAGATTGCACACTGGAGTCATCATAAACATGAGTGTGAACGGTTAGAAAAACAGATGAAGAATGTGGATGTGTTGAATGAATTTCCTTTCACATCTCTCCAGAAGCTACATATCGGGTAATTGGTGATCTGCTTGTGGTTGACAATGATCTGTATATTTTAATGTATATGTACATGTATTTATGTATGTATAGTTCTTGCTTACTTATTGCTCTTAACTTCCATCAGATTTGTGAAAAGCAAGAGACTAGGTGTTCATTTTTGGCGAAGAGGCATCTTCATCAGGTGGGAATGTGGCTGCACGAATGCTGTTGTGGAGCATCATGCGGCACCTTTGATCGGTTAGGGTTTTCTCTCATTTCCTTCGTAGTTCATATTCTGCCACTTAATTAAATTCCTTCTTTTACTTATGTATGAGTATTGGAATTCAGCTTAATATAAAGAATAAAATAAAAAAAGCTTCACTTTTTGTGCTCTTGAAGATAACATTTTCCCATTAGTCTACTAGTTTTAGATAATTGTTCATTGCAAGAAAAATTGATTTCTGCAGATTGAACAAAGGCTAGGGGATCTCTCAAGTCATTTCTGCCCATGTTCTGGTAATTTTATGCTTCAAACTTTTTTGTCTTCTCCTTCTCATCCTCCTTTAGATGTACAGTGAATTTAACATATGGATGACCAGGGCCTGAATCTGCTATATCAGAGGAGTTGCATAGTTGGGAAGACTACTGTAAGTGGAGGTGCATTCCACTGGACTCACCTGTTGCTTTACTTCTTCACTGGGTATGAGTATCTCATTAACTTTAGCAATTGCTTTATCTTCATTTACATTTCAATGGCTTTCATAAGCATGCCTTACTAGCTACTATGTTTTCTCATGGAAGTCAACACTATTCACGGCCATTTGTTTGTCTACAAGGTTTCTTTTCTTTTTGACATGAGCGTGCATAGGTAGTCTGAGAAGGGGATTTGAATCAGACAAAATTTGTATTTAAAAGTTGGACAAGGGGCAAAGTTACTTATCGTTTACTTGGATCTACTAAAGGTTCTTCATATGATACCATATAAAGCATAGACATGTCTGAACAGGTATTGTTCAGATAATTATTTATGTATTGATTGTCTGGTGTTTTCTATTTCAGCCACTTACGGTATATCATGCTTTGCAACTTGTTGGAATCACGATCCCGAATCCTGAAATTAATGATAAGCTGTACATACATTACCTTGGTAAACTATTGCTTTCAAATTCTTTCTTAAGTATTTTAATTTGATTTGGATTCTTTCTTTCTTTTTTTTTTCCATTTTTTTGGCCCAGAAAATTCCTTTTATGCTCTCTTTGCTTTTACAAAATGATCTGTTTCCTCATTTTTATCTGTTATGTCATTTTAGTGGCAGTGAAACATTTACTTTTATGAATCATTATTCAAAAAAAGGCTTCGCATCTGCATCTCCCTTAGACATTAGTAATTTGCATGATCCCTCGGCTTTTGACTTCTATCTCATGACGTTGTCTCTAAAAGGACCTGAGAAAGAGCTTCTACAACTTGTGGTGTTTGGGGAATTACGGGCACTCTTCCCTGGTGTACGTATTCATGTAGAACTTGTTGGGCCTGCGATTCCTCTACACAGGTCCGTTGAAGTTCTTGTGATTCATGTTTTGTCCTAATGCTGGTCGCAAATTGGTCCACAATGCATATCTTCCGTTTCCCAGTGAACAGGGATGGAGAGAAGATCAGTATTTCTCAGTATGCTCGCTGCAATAGTGATGAGTGTTCCTGCAAATTATCTGGTGATGATGTGATTTTCAAAACGCAATCTGATACCACTTCGGCAGTGACATTGCAGCTTTGGCGAGGGTTCTATCACGATCGTTATGGTGATATTGTCAAGGTATCTAATTTTCTGATGGTCAACATTCAAATTATCATTGTTTCCAGATAACTTTAAATGGCTGATTCTTCAATTCAGCAATTTTCTCTTCAATTTTGTTCCCCTAACAGGATAAGGATTCCTTCCCACGTCTAGTCATAGCCCCAAATGCTGGCATTGCTGCTTATACTAGTTGGTTACCCAGTATTGTATGCCACCCACCTCACGCTTCTCTTTTATGTTTTGCTGTTGATTCAAATTATGAATTACCTTTTATTAAAAGGTACTCTTCCAGTTCTAAATATAAGAGTTATATAACTAATTTGTAGTGAGTAAGGAAATTAGTTAAGTTTTTATTTGTAAGAAATGTATGTTGGTTTCCTAAAATATCCCTTTAATCATTTGCATTGTAACTACTTCCTGATAGAAATTCTCTTAATAAATGTAATTAATGGGGATAGTTTGAAAAACAAATTATAAATTTAGGAGATAAAGTGGATTAGGTTTTACATTTGGAATTAAAGTAAACTCTTTCTGCTAGTTTCTACACTTAAAACTGAAGGAGTGGCAATATGAATAGAAGAGAAGCAGGGTACTTTTTTCCCCGTCTTCTCATTGTTTTTGTTCGGTTTGCTTGATGAATATTTCAGGAGCAATGGAAAAGATGACATCCCGGTTGTTTTCACCGACTACTGTGAGGAAGCTTGTCATCTTGCTGCACATTGTATTGAGTCTGTCTGTAACTGGCCGCTCCCTTGGATTGCCTGTAAGCTTCTTACTTCCGCTTTTGAAAGTTGTATTTTGATAGATTCTTAAGTGGGCGAGTTGGTTCATTATTATCTAGATTTTCACATTCTTACCATTGATCTGGTATCAACAGAAGCATTGAACTGTTATGTCATGTAGGTTCAATTGAATCCATTCAGGCAGCCGGTAGCGGTGGAGGATAGTGTGCTGTTGCTTCCTTGTTATTCAAATTGCTTTCTTTTTGGGATGTAAATTGATTGATTTACAAAAATAAAGTATTAAACACATGCTTATTATTGTGTAATTATTACTTATGATTCCTCACAAAAGAAAATATAATTAACCATGCATTAATCATTTTATATGTTTGATTTTGATATAAATTGAGGAGATAAAGATAATCTCAAGTGGATGAGTTAGAGGAATATTATACGCATGATAATGCTCTTGGTATTGTACTACCTTTGGTCCTTAACATGAAAACTAGATAATTAATTTGAGAAGATTAAGAATTCAGTTACTTTGGTTAATTGTAACAACTAACAAGTGTGGATTGATTTTCCTAAATTATCTTTAATTATATGTATTGGAATGAAAACCCTTGTAATTAATATAAATATTTTAGAGAAAATATTATAAATTCAAGAGGTAAAGTGAACTGAGATCATATTTAGAACCAATTTAATTTTTAATTAGTTTTATATTAAGAATTGAAGCGGTATATTATATTGTGTGCATTGATAAAATGAATCAGACTCATGCATTATGCTTATGCATTAAACGTGCTTCATGAATATTGATGCAATAAAATTGTAAGGATTAAAGTAAAGAAAATGGAATACCAAATAATATTTCATAAAATAATAAAAAAGGGAAAAAAAATGCCAAAAAAAAAATTTAAAATAAAATTGGGAGCTTTGATGTTCAACCTTATCCGTCAATAACCCACCTTCAAGCATATGTTTACTGTCTGGGGTTTGGGATCGAACTAATATATGATGAGTGAAATTTATTAAAATAAATTCAGTAATTACTTCCACTACTAAGATATTAAAAAATTTAAATGAAGTGAAATATTTTAAAACTCAAAATGTTTATACAAACAATTAGTATAATAATGACGTATTTAATGTTAATTAAAAAAATCATAACAAGAAAATAACGAGAAAAGAAAGTGAGGAATGCGTCGTAGTGCCAATTTGACGCCATATGTTTTTAAAGTGTGTCTGATGATGCAAGAAACCAGAACATTACAATATACTGAAACTGAGACTGGTTACAGAGACTGTTACTGAACCGGTTGAGTCAGTGGTTTGATTGGAGTCAACCCGAGATTGGACCAGTCATGATTAAAATAGTACTTCCATTCCTTATTATAAGAGACATTTGATGCTTATGGCATGTTCCTATATTAAGAGACTTACAAGTTGTCTCACTTTTTTGTGTTGATTTACTATTTTACCCATATTTATTATCTCCAACTCACACTATCTCTCTCCCAACTTCTCTTTCTTTTAATAATTAATTGTTCTCTCTCATGCTCTCTATTAATAAGGGCATTTTTGGAAAAAAATTATACTTTTTACATTAATTGTTCTTAACTATAACTGTTTTTTTTGATCACGTACTTTGGTTATTGGTTTCAATAAGGAGCGGAGGGATGTATGTTAAAATAATTGGAATAAAGTAAAGCATTAAATATAAAATATAATTTAAAAGAATATAATAAGCATTTACAATGAAAAAACAGAAGAAACACTATATAATTTACTAATTAATCTTTTTATAATCGGAAGAAAATCCTCCGTAGTCCATGCCTTGACTGGTGCCAGCGAAGTATGCTGTAGTATACTAATAATGAGTTTCGGAAAAACCGAAAAATAAAACGTGAGAGGGTGAAAATTGCTTCTATTGAAAAGTGAGCTTTTTGCCGGTATGCTATAAATAGTAAAAATATATACCAAAATACTGTAGGTTCAAAGTATTTACTAATATGTTATATTTAAATCGTTCTTGGTAATAATGATTTTCAAACACAAGTTGTTCTTGACAAAAACGACTTGTGTGTTAACTGATAAAAAGTGAAATTGTTCCTAGCGTCAATGATTCCCTTTTTGACATTTTATTTTTTTTTTAAATCAAAAAGTGAAATTGCTCACAGCTATTCCTACTCCATGCAAGAGTCTCTGCCATTTCCTTTGCATGCGAGAATCTCCCATTTCCTTTCCAACTTCTCTCACTTGTCAACTCAATTCTTTTTTTTTTTTCCATGCAAACCCGTGAAGCCATAGCAATTTGCATGCTTTTATATATTTATATGTCCAGTATTGGTTCCCTACTTCATCTCCTTCTTTCTTCTTCTTCTTCCTCCTCCTCCTCCTCCTCTCTCGGTCGTTCACTTGCTCCATTTTCATTGTTTTCTTACTCTATTATTTTTTTACTCTTACTTCTAAATACTTAACAAGTTCTTTTACTACTACTGTGAGTATATTGTTTTTCTTCTATTTTTTTCAAAAAAAATATTTGCATTGTGATATAGAATTTGATTTTTCATCCATACTATCCTTGATGAGCTAATATTTCATTATTCTAATTTTCAAGAGGTGGGTGGTGGGTTCAACAATTTAGAATATTTGTACTCTTTTAAGCTAGGTGCCTCTTATTTTGATGATAAAACTATCATCTATTATATTGTTTAAAATGTTAAGATTTTGATATAAGCTCCAATCTTTTTTTAGCATATTATTATTATTTTTTCTTATAAAAGTATACTTTTCCAAGAGTTTAAATTAGGTAGATAAAATTAAAAAATAATTATATATACACCATAAATATCAAATCTGTGGTATATATCAAGTTGGTTAAAAAAAAAAAAAGTCTTCTACCCACACTTCAAGTGAACTATTGCTTTCATATGTTTTTTAGGTAAAAATAAGGTGTAAGTAATGAAAAATTGAAATGAATGGAGGGCTCTCATAATTTCTTTTCTTCATTTTGCCCTTTCCTTGCTATTTGCTATGTTGTATTTTTGAATTGGTAATGACGTGTCATGACATGATTGTTTTGAATCAAAAGTAAAATATTTTGACTATCTTTCTAGTTTACATCAATGACATAGACCTTCTTTTTATTTTAAAAACATACAGTTTAGTCAATTAGTTAACACCATTAGAGTATTCTAAAAGGATTCTAAAAATATTATTTTTAACTAAAATTTATATTAAAATAAAATTTATTTACTATTTTACTCTCCTCTTTCTAATAAATTCCTAAATTGTAGTTTTATAGTTACATCCATTTCATTCAGTTAAGGCAAAAAAAAAGATTGATTAAAAATTAAACTAATATTTTGAATAAATATATATATTTACTAAATATGTTTTATAAATCCTTGTAATAAAGAAGTCTTTAAAAGTTTGAATTATAAATTTAAATAATGTATAAATATTTTAAACTTATATCATTTAAATTTTATGATAAATAAAAACTATGTATTTGAAATATGTTTTTACAATTTAAAAGAAATCAAAGTAAATAATTTCTAATAAATGTGATAAAATAGAAGAAAAATCTTTATTTTTGAACCTTCATTTCATCCATGATTTTGGCTCAAAAGATTTTAACCCAATGAAATTTTTAGTTTTCATGTAATAAATTGATATTTATTAAATTAATATTACAGAAATAATAAAATAATAAATAAGTATTATAAGGTATAAATAATATATTTATGCATAAAATTAAAAAAATCTCTATGATATGTTAATTATTAAAGTAATATTACAAGAAAATTGTAATATTAAAAAGAGATATGTTTAGCATGTTTTATATAGTGCAATTTTTATATTAATTAATACTTGATATAAATAAAATTATAGAAATAGCAAAAGAAACAAAAGGAAAAAAATCTCTCTTTCTTAAACTTTTTTTTATTTAATTACAAAGAAATAATTTACGACAAATGATTAACAAATTCTAAAAATGACTAGATTTGTAATTAAGTTTGTTTACTATACTTTAATAGATTTTGACAATACTAGCAACAACACTTTTTACAGTAGTTCCTGATTTGGGATTATGCAGTTTTCATTCATTGTTTTCCCCCCTAGATATGGATTCCTTTGTGTCTTTGGTTGTATAGGATATTCTGAGCTAATAATAAATATTGATTTTGTAAAAAAGTAATGGTATAGTAGAGTTAATTTATTGTATAACTTAATCTTGCTTGACTAGTGATTATAATGAAATGATTAGGAAGTAGAATGGATCATAAAAAGGAGTTCGAGTGTGTATTTGCAAATGGTGAATTTTTAATGGCCTAGTCGGTGTAACATTTGAGTCTGATAATGTGAAAATTATCAAGTTGACAAAAATTTACATTGGGCAAATTAAGCAAGTTATTGGACGAATGTTACAACTTCCTTCCTCCATCAAAACACGACAAATTTAGTATATAGATATCGTATGTGCATAAATCCACATCAATACCAAGCATACAATTTGGAAGGTGATGCAGATATAAAACAAATGAGGCAAGTGACCAGAAGATTTTTAACTTAATTAACATATGCAGAGTTGTATCCTAACATATGTGATTTACCAGATAATGGTCATGTTGAGTCACAACCCGTATGTGATTATGTAGGAAATATGCTTCCATCAAGTAGCAACAGGTTGAACATTATGGAACAAGAATCCATGTTTAGTGATCACACGAAAAATTTTCAACCATTTGAACCCCCCATAAATGGTGGGAACAATGTATCATCATGTTCTGTTCCTTAAATAGAAGATATCATGGATGAATCTGAGAATATAGAAGAATATGATTCTTATTTAAATACTGGTAGTAGGGATGATGATAGTGACAATGACAATGAATATGATGAGATGAACGAGCAAAATCAGGTTGCAAATGCTTCCTTGTCACAAATTCATGTTAATTCAGTTACAACTCCTGAGTTTGATGAATTAGAAGATATTTTGAATGTTAGTGATAATGAAGAGTTAAATGTTGGAAAAATATTTAGCAATGTCCAAGTTTTAAGTTGAGCAGTCAAGCTATATTCTGTTTGTGTTCATCATACATTTAAAGTTTATTATTCATGTAAAAAGTATAAAGAATATCGTTGTGTCAACTATGGAAAAAATTATAATTGAAGAGTGAGGACTTGCAAAAAGGAAAGCAAGAACTATTGGCAAATTACAAAATATGGGGGGCCTTATGCATGTTTGAGCACGTCATTAACTCAAGACCATCCAAAGTTGGACGCAGATGTTATATCATCTTTCATTATGGCACTA